CAGTAATGGAAACTTTTCTTAATAAAACCGTATATAATGATAGCCCAGCTGACCCCACCTCTCCTTCATACTTTACTACTCTTCCCCACCCCCTATTCCTAACTTTGAAAAATCCAAAGAAAAGTGGGTGAATAACAGTATTCACAAATTAGGTAATACTGCATGTAAAAAACGTAACAAAATAAACCCAGAATGCAGAAATTATCATCATGTAAAAGAATCAATGATAGCTACAGAGTTCATCAAAACATATGTCCTGGGGTGAAGAGCTTTGAGTCACATATTTCAGCCTGAGCTGCAGATTCACTGCACTGCTATCACCATTCTTCATGGAAGCCAGGGATCCAACAAGTCTGCACATTTCATGGCACACAGAAATCCCTGGCTTGCATGCTGCCGTGGGCCCAACATCACCATGGAGGAAAGTAGAAGGCAGACTACTACAAATTTAGCACATGCCCTGTACCTGCTCGGTGGGCACCACTGATGATGATATTGGTACCCAGGCACAAAAAGAGCTGAGATGCACAGCTAAGCTTAGCATAGAAAGAAAGTCATTTGAAAACTTCTTTTACTCCCCGCACATTCCTTCCAAGTCTGACACATTTAACTGCCATCTCTGGACACAGGGGACAGCCACGTCACAATTCCACCCAATGCATCTGGTCTCGTGGGTGACCGCATTGTCTGGCACCTCCTTTTCCCAGAAGCCCTGGGTTTTCTATGCATCCCAATCCTTCTGCATGGGGACATCAGCACCTGAGGCTGAAGGAGCCAGAACAGGAGAGAGAAGAGACAACAGGCAGAGAAGTGCTCACAGCAGAGAAGGCAGCAGGGCTCCGGCTCTGGGGGAGGGGAAGGCTGTCATTACCATACAACCAACAGAATCAAAGGCTCCGGACTCCAAGAAGCAAAGATGGATTTGTGCTTTTATGGCAGGAAGGGGGCTTTGGTTTCACAATTAACAATCATAGCATCTAGTCCACAAAGCCTACTCCTGCTCCTGGCCGCTCTTTCCTTCCCAGCTCTGCATGGGGGCTTACTATGAACGAAAAATATGTGTGGGCAAAAGGGAAGAGGGCGGCAAAAACAAAGGAGGAAAACAAACGCTTGTCTTCAAAGCTAGGTATGTTGGTTAGGTTTGACTTTGCATTCTCCAAGCAAAATTTGCATGAAAGGTTGACTCTATCCTTTGGCAAATGAAATTCATATTTCCTCAGCAAAAGGAGGAAGATCTTTGATATGATGGCCCTTATAAACATGGGGCTGCCTGAGGTGTACAAACTGGCCTCCCTGTAACCGAAGAATGGCTTAAATTCAAAGGGCTTACATTCAAGTCAGAATTAGAGAAAAGTGCTGAACACCAAACAAAAGGATGTACTGAAATCACAGAAAAAGGCAGAAGGAAGGAGCAAAGAAAAACTCAAAGATGGAAGTATACAAAGAGAATTGTGAAACTGTCAGGGACAATGCTGCCTGACACAGTAATAGTATTTTGGCTACAAGAAAAAAGTTGAATCATATCATCGAAAAGGGGTGCCATATTCCTGCCCCATTCACCTCTGACAATAATATCACAGACAATGGCACACTAAGTGCCATAAGGGAGCCTTTGCACAGAAAAGACACAGGCAAAACGCGTGGTGCAAGGGCAGGAAGCTCAAGCGATCAGGGGAAAGCACGCCCTTGAAGAAAGGGAGAGGTGGGACATCCACCGCCATCGGGATGCTGCTAATGGCTATTGTGAAAATAAGATGGTGTCATGGAGCGTGTCTCAGAGCAATGAGAATAACTCAGATATGGGAGTTTTGTTGATCTAAGGTTTCATCAAAAGCTCTTTTACTATCCAAATGTAACGAGTCCCCTGGCTCAAAGCAAGGCACCCTGTTCAGAAAGAACTGGTCTTAGGTCTTAGTAACAACTGACCCCTCTTTTTAACCTACAACTTATAATGTAAGCGAAGAGCAAATACTCAAATCTCCAGGAACCATGTGTGTTCTGTAGGCCTCAACCTGAGGTTGTATTGATAGCTAAATAAATAGATTACAAGTGACATGGTTGAGGCCAGATTTAAGGTCTCTGGGTGCATCTTCCATTGTGCCTCATTATCTGGAACAATGTAGTTGGTGTGACCATTATCAAACAAGATGCAGATGGCTAAGGAAAGAGAAAAATGGCAGCATATGTCCCTCATGGGTGACCACGGCTCCCCCTATACTTTCTAGAGACTGCTTACAAGAATTCTGAGGATATGGCAGCAGCACTCTGGGTGAAGATGTTGCAGGGATAGGAAGGCTACATGGACAAGGATGTAGAAAGCTTATAAAGGTAAACAAGGCTACACGCTATCCCAGGTTGGGTCTCAAAATGGGAAGACCACACCTCTCACTATCTGGATATAGCACCAAGCAATTTCCAATCAAACAGGGAATGTAGCAGGTTAAACCTATCACCTGAAGTCCTTGAAACAGTTCTTATGATGTCTGGGCCCCCAATGTTGTCCCACACAAAGACTGTGACCAGGAGGCTCCCTTGGGGCACACCCTGAACGGAAGAGGAATAAGGCATCTCTTTTCAAGGATATGATTCAATTGTGCTTCTAGCTAAAATACCATTGCTGCATCAGGCAGCTTTGTTCAAGACAGTCTCGTGATTTTCTTCTCTTCATATACTTCCCATCTTTTGAGTTTTCCTTAGCTCCTGCATCAGCCACCTCCCCCTTCTTCCTTTCTCTGTGATTTCAGCAAAATGCTATAAATCGGCAATTATAATGCAAAGAGAGTAGTCAAGAACCAACCTCCTGCTCATCTCATAGAAGCCACCTTCTCTGGAACACAGAGTGGCTGAGATCAGCTCACTCTGGTTCTCCATGACCTATGTGTACGTGGAGGGTGGTTTCTGGCCAGCTGAGCAAACAGCTCACACACGAGGTACCACACCTGTTCAAGCCGCAGGAAAGAAGGAACACAGTCCAGTAACAGTACTGGTGCACAGCTCAGCCTTCATAGCTGGTTTGGAGCAAGGTCCTGAAGGTCAAGCCAGAACAAGCGAGGCCCCAAGCCTCCCCAAGCAGGGCTCACCTAACAAGGATGATGTGTGTGTGGAGTGGCCCTCAGGACACCCAGTAAGTCTGACAACAGCACTCCAGGATGTGGGGTACAGGAATCACCACTCTACCCCTGAACTCCACCCCAGGAAGCAAGGATGTCCCTTCCAAGCACCAGCTCTGGCTCTAACTGCCACGCTGTGCCACACTGCCCACCAGGCCAGGGAGAGTGCGAGGAAACAAGGAAAGCAAGGGAGAAATTGCTTAGCCAGGAATCTGGGGAGACTGTTCACACACCTCTCCCTGCAGTTCCTGTCTGGGACGGGAAGGTGAAGCCCACTGGAGATGAGAAGGGCAAGCCCGGGATGGGAGCGGGGTCAGGGTGGCTGAGCTGAGTCCTCGCTCCACCACCATGCACCTAAATTCGCACTCACTCTTTTAACACCTATTATTCTAATCCATTATGTTTGATAATCTTGGCCTTGAAGCTCAAACCTGAGCTTTACGGTAAATCTCCTTAACAAACGAGATTAGAAAGGAGGGAGGTACGGGGGACAGCCACTTCCTGGGTTAAAATTTAAAAGGCCGTGTCCGAAGAGAGCTAACTCCGGGCTCAGCCCGTCAGGAACACTTCCCCTTCCCTCTTCCTTCCACTTCTGTCAGAAGGAAAATGTCTGATTACAAGGATGGCGGTAGAGGGTCCACGCGTTGAAGACGCAGGTGGGAGGCTGAGGCAGGGCAGGATCGGCGCGGCGCGGAGGGCTGGGTGAGAGAGAAGACCCCCGGCCGCGCGTCCCCTCTCGGTCGCCCCAGGCCGCGCGGGAGGGTCCTGTCCAAGTGGGCGGCCTCCCGGCGCGGCCCTCCGGCACCGCCCGCCCGCGGCGCACGCGGCTCGAACACGCGGCGGGCGCACCGCACCCCAGCCGGTCGCCAAGGGCGCTGGCGGCGCCCAACCCCACGCCGAGGCGGGAGGGGCTGAGGCCGCGCGTCTGCGAGCGCGGAGCGCCCGGGCAGGGGCCTCGCGGGAGGAGACCAGGGGAGGGGACCAGGGGACGCCGGCCGCTGGCGGAGGACGCTGAGGCAGGCGCGAGTCCCGCTCAGCATCGCGCGCGAGCACCGGGAGGGGCCTGGGCCAAGCCCCTCTCAGCTCTAGGGAGCCCCCCCACCCCTGCCCCGCGCCCCTCACTCCCTCAGGCGACCCTCCCCCAGCCCCCTCACTCCCTCAGGCGACCCCCCCCCCGCCCCTCACTCCCTCAGGCGACCCTCCCCCAGCCCCCTCACTCCCTCAGGCGACCCCCCCCCCCGCCCCCTCACTCCCTCAGGCGACCCTCCCCCCCCCCGGCCCCCTCACTCCCTCAGGCGACCCTCCCCCCCCCCCCCCCCTCACTCCCTCAGGCGCCCCTCCCCCAGCCCCCTCACTCCCTCAGGCGACCCTCCCCCTTTCATTCACTCACGCGCCCCTCCCCCATTACTCACTCAGGCGTCCCTCCCCCTTGCGCTCACTCACACCCACATTCACTCAGGCGCCCCTCCGCGCCCCTCACTCCCTCAGGCACCCCCCCCTTCACTCACTCACGCGCCCTTCCCCCATTACTCACTCAGGAGTCCCTCCCCCTTGTGCTCACTCACACAGACGCCCCCTGCCTCCAACACCCACATTCACTCAGGCGCCCCTCCCGCGCCCCTCATTCACTCAGGCACCCCTCCCCCGCCCCTTCACTCGCTCAAGCGCCCCTCCCCCATTATTCACTCAGGCGTCCCTCCCCCTTCCCCTCACTCACACAGACGCCCCTCCCCCTATCTCCTCACTCACTGAGGCGTCCCTCTCCCATACCCTCACTGACTCAGGCGCCCCCTGCCTCCAACCGCCTCATTCACTCAGGTACCCCCTTTCCCCCGCCCCCTCACTCAGGCGCCCCCTCCCCTCCCGACCTCTGACCCCCCCCCCACTCACCCAGAAGCCCCGGGAGTGGCCGGGCGCGGGTCGCGGGGGCGGCGGGCGGGCCGCGCGGCAGTAGAAGCAGCAACAGCAGGAGCGCGAGCGGCGGCCCCATGTCCGCTGGCTGGCGGGCAGGCGGCGCTCAGTCCATGGCGGCGGCTCCTCCCTGCGCGCCTGGCGCCGCCGAAGCTTCAGCACCGGACAGCGCCGCCGGCCCCGCCCCCGACACGCCCCCGGCCACGCCCCCGATGCGCCGGGCACGCCCCACGACGTGCGTTCGCCCGCCGGCCACGCCCCCCGACGTCCCCGCGCCTGGCCCCGCGCTGCCTCCGAGTCGGACGGGCGTCGCGCCTCTGTAGTCCCAGCCGGTCTTCCTCTTCGGGCCCCTCTGCCCCGGCTTTCTCGGGAGTCGCACTGCCCCGCTTGCAGACGTCCGGGGCCTGGGACGGAACGGCGCGAACCCTCTCTCCTCGGCTGGGCAGGTGCCACCGCGCTGTGACACGCGGCGTCACGACCACGCGGGCCTGGCGGCACTTGAGGCGTGGACGGCGCGGCCCAGGAGCCAGTTCCGGCTCTCACTGAGCTTTGCTGCGTTTGAATGTGAATGACCATTTGTGTCCCCGCAGGTGCAGACCCGGTGGAAGCTCTCCTGAAGCGCGGGCGGTGTCGCGGCCCCTGGAAGGGGACGGAGGAACAGCCGTGCGGGGTCCTCAGCCTGGACAGAAGGGGCCTGCGGGAGGCTAACCTGGAGCTGTGGAAGCCCCTCCTGCGCTCTGCGCTCGGTTGGCGGGTCAGGGCTCCATAGCGGGGACGAGGCCCGGAGGTGGGGTCCGCCTGGGTCCTTCCCTCCTCCCTGTGGCCGGGCCCAGAGGGGCCCCTGAGAACCCTGTGTACTTCCCGGGGAGACTGCTACTTCCTAAAGGCGCGGCTGTGAGGGTCCCCGGGGGCAGAAGGCATCAGAGGGGGCTCTGTGTGTGAGTGTGTCAGAGAGAGGTGGGGTGTGCGTGCGCGCTGTGAATGGGTGTGGGGGGTGAGGATGTAGAGTATGGTCGTATTATGCGAGTGTGGTGTGTGTGTGCCCCCCACATCTCACCCCAGGCCAATCTCCTCCATCATTGTCTTCGTCGTCATCTCTTGTGGCCCTGCCAGGGACCCCAGTCCCCCGCCTGCTTCAGCGTTGGCAGTGGCCTGAGCCTCCACTGACCCCTGTGGATCCCACTCACCCAAGGTCAGCTCTCATTCCCGCTCCTGCCCATCCCTCTGGGTTCTCGCTGCCTGGCCCTCGTCAGCCAGCCTGTGTGTGCCCCTCACCACTCCCGACAAGGCTACCTGTGCACACTTTGGGGTTAAGGGTGATGGCGAGGGAGTTGGGACTCAGCACAGCCCATCTCCAGTTGGAATTGAATATTGGGTCTGACTGCCCCACAGTTCCCCCTTTGCTGATGCCCTGCATCCCCAGACGGCCACTGCCCTCCCTGCAGGGTCCCTCCCTCTCCCCACCTGCTCAGCATGCTCTGTCTGTCCCTTTCCCTGAGAGAGCAGCAGCAGTCATCGCCCCACAGTGACTTTTCTTCCTCCTGCTGCATGGACAATTGGCTGTTTGTAACCTCCAGATCCCACAACGGGTAGGGGAAAAGGGTGGTGAAGGGGCTTTTCAGTAGACTTGGGTTTCTTTATTCCTTGTGTTATTCTTAGTAGCCTGACTCCAGGTTAGCACCCTGCTGCTCTCACCTCAAAGCAAATGGGACTCCTTGAGTAGAATTCATCAATGAGACGATTCATTCTCACACTCTGAGAAAGGCTGCAAGACACTCATTCCTCAGCTTGATTACACCACACCACAAGCCACAATGTGAGCACACAGGGCTTACCCCAAATGTGGGCTCAGAGCATGAGAGATCCACCTTGGTGAAGGTGGGAGGCCGAACGGGGAGGAGACATTGGCAGATGGCTTGGACAGGCATGTCTATCCTCAGAGGTCCGGAGAGCCAACTGGTGGTAAATTTGGTGACAGAAACAATAGGAAAAAAGAGAAATAAGATCAAAATGGGCTGGAAGGTAAAGCTCATTAATGCCAGGGCCCAAGAGGTGATTCAGAAGCAAGAGGGCAGGACATACAACTCTGTTCAGTGACATCACTTTGTGATGTGGAAGGATCTGTTTCCAAATACCTAACTCCGTTTTTCTGTTGTAGGTGAGGGTCTACGTAACCAAATGCCTGCTTAAATGCGAGTCACTACATTCACACTGGAGAGGGAGCCATCCGTCCAAGAACCAAAAAGCCTATCCGTGCCCACAAGTTGGAGGCTGCTGGGCCTCTGCCACTGGCAGAATCCACTGGCATTTGTAGTGGACATTGTGAAAGACTTGGAGGAGCTTAGGGCTCCTCCTGTGCCTGTATCCTGGAGGACTGTTTACTTTTGGGGTGGGTGTCTCCTGTTCCTTGGCATTGTTAAACAGGTCTCACGGAAAGGGCCTGGGATTGTTTGTTCTTTCATTGTTTGACTGGCTGCTGTTGACAGTGGTTTCCTGAACCAGGTCCTGCTTCACTCCAAGGCCCCAGCTCCGGAATTCTGACAGGGTCGAAGCAAAGTTGTAGCAAAGTTTGCCCCAAGAAAGGCAAAATGGAAAACCAGAGAGGCACAAGAGGGATTGCGAGATTATAGTAACAAAGGCACTGAGAAGAAGCACAAAATTCACCAGGTGGCGTAGGAAAGAGGGTGGAAGCCGCTGCCCATTCCTTCTGGTCTCAGCACTGAATTTGACCAGAGCACACCAGTCCTGGGCTGTACTTGACAAGCCACAAAACCTTAGCTCTGCTGAAACGACAGGAAGTTAAAGGCAGAGAAATGGAGAATGTGGAAGGAAGGAAGAAAGAATGGGGCTAGGTTCCAGAACTAAATCTGAGGTAGCCCAGATTTCTGACCTGGAGGACAGCTGTGCATGGCTTCTTCTGGAATGCTAGCTAGATAGATCATCACACCAGGAATTCCCAGTCTTTGACCGTGATACACGAGCTGTGCATGTGTGTGCACCCGTGCGTGCATGTGTGCGTGTGTACATGTGTGTGCAACTGCACATATGTATGTGCATGTGTGGGTGTGTACGTGTGCATGCACTCGTGCACATGTATTTGGTGTGCTGGGTGCACGTGCCTACATGTATGTATAAGAACATGATTAAATGCTATACAAGGCACACATATACATGTATCTGTCCACTAGGTGTACAGCATTCACTCAAAACATATGCTTAATCCCTGGGCCCTTTAGGCCAAGGGTGTCCCCTACATTTATTTATGCTTTGTGCTTTTCTACTTATAAAATCATTTAATCTATTATTGTCTCACTTGCTAATATTTGTGATATACCCTCATAGCGTGCCAGGGGCAGTATGTGGTGCAATCTTACAGTTCACAGTTAAAACATATTTGCAGTCATAGGTCAAGGAATGACTTCTAAGGAGATTTTCAAGGTCAAATACAGCATTGGAGCTGGGCTTCCTTCAAGGGCCTCCTGTCTGCCTGAGGTGAGTAGAGTGGAACTCCCAGAGAGAACCCAGGGGCTTGAAGTCAGAAGGTCAGGGCTCAGATCCTAGCATCTCACATGCACCAGCTCTGTGGCCTTGAATGTTGCTGAGTGGTGAGAGATCAAACTATTGGCCACCCTGATGGTTTTGACCGTATCAGTGAGTGCTCTGGATTATATCAGAGTTGACGAGAATAACTGTGACATCTAATTAGGACCAGAAAATATTTTTTTTTTTCTTAAGGTTAGCACCTGAACCACCAACTGTTGCCAATCTTTTTTTTTTTTTTCCTGTTTTTTCTCCCCAAATCCCCACAGTACATAGTTGTATATTTTTTAGTTGTGGGTCCCTCTAGTTGTGGCATGTGGGACGCCGCCTCAGCATGACCTAATGAGCAGTGCCATGTCCGTACCCAGGATCCAAACTTGTAAAACCCTGGGCTGCCAAAGCAGAGGGTGCCAACTTAACCACTTGGCCACGAGGCTGGCCCCAGAAAGTATTTTAAATGGGGCAACTAGGCCTCCGGTTCTCTGTGTCAAAAGGAAAAAAACACAAAACAGCAGAGCTGCAGGGGATTCAGTGGGGTGGTGAGTATGAGAGCTGGGGGAGAAGGCTCAGTCATGAATGCCCCAGGCTTTCACTGCGTCAACAGCACTGAATGTGTCCTGGCACTCTCCTCCTCCAGGTGGAAGGCTGGGATGTTCACTGTGCTAGGTTGAAATGCTCACTGGGCTTCCACTTGATCAGAAACAGCTTTCTAAAGAAGGGGCATTTGAGGTGAGGTTTTAGCGCATGCAGAGAGGCAGCATGTGAGCAAAGGTGCCTGAACATGTGCTAACAAATATCCTCAAATTATTCATTGTAGGCATACAGTTTGGCTCTTGCTGAATGGCATAATAGTCTGGTCAACTGTGATGAAATTTGAATTACTGACTAAAGCAGTCAAAACTGCCAGATTGGCCATTTTTAGTTGGCTATTTTTCTTCATTTAAACACAGCCCGGGTCTCTATTTGAACAGCGAACCTGGGTGTGAGTCATCTGATGGTCTAGTTCCATCCGTGAGGGAAAGCAGGCGGCCATACCCCAAGGAGAGGGGCCTCCTGAGTTGGCCTGTGGGCTGCCAGCCCGATGTTCACTGAGCCCCGTCTGTAGGGCTGGGAGTGAACCGTTCCCACCTCCACTGCTGCAGAGACAGGTGCCCCACAAGGCTGCCTGCCACTCAGCACTGGCACGTCACCAGGAACCTACCTGCTACTCCTTGAGGTCTTGTCCAGAGTGGATCCCCTGCCCTCTGCAGTACACCTCCCTGGCTCCCAGAGAGTGACAGTTCTGTCCAGCGCTCCCCCAGTATTGCTCCTGGACCCCAAAGCTCAGAAGAATTGGGCTGAGCATGTTGTGGTGTTGTGTCATCAGCACTTTGCCAGTGAACACATGGTAAGAGCGTTCTGATCCTGAGTGATGTGGAGCTGGTGTTGTCTGCACAGCACTGTTCCCGTGACGTCAACAGCACTCCAGCTTGTCTTTGTGGGACTTCTCCCCGTGAATACCTGTCCATCACGATGTGCCACCAGGTAAAGGCTTGGGCTTGAATGAGGCCAGGCAGATGCTCTGTCCTGGAATGTGGGTTACAGCAGAGTGACACAGGCTGGAAATGGTCGAAGCTGCCCCCTGGGGATTGCCTGTGGCTCCTGG